CATGCTAGTTGCCAAATGCATCTATATTTATGTTTTTCGATATATATATATATATATATATATATATATATATATATATATATATATATATATATATATATATATATATATATATATATATATATATATATATATATATATATATATATATATATATATATATATATATATATATATATATATATATATATATATATATATATATATATATATATATATGAATTATATTTTAGATGCATGTTTAGGATTTCGAATGTTGTGATGATTAATTAAGTTCACTTAGATCAACCAACATAGAAACCCTAGGTCCCTGAATATTGAGTAAAAATTGCCATTCCAAAACAACATTTACCAACCGAATGAGGGTAGTGGTGGGCTACGCCAAAGCGAGGCATCACTACCTCTCCTAGGAGGGTAAGGTATACCGAGTATGCAAGTTGGTTTTGGTTGTACTCAACGATATGAGTGATGGAGTCCTAACATGTCCTGGCAAAGTGAATAAATTGTTAAGAGAGCATTAGATGCGACGATTTATTCAACCAAGAGTGGCTTGGATTCATTAGCAAAGCGTTGCTTACCCTAGGTGATTGAGTGTTAAGAAAAGCCAAAGCATGCTTAACCACTCTTTGTTTCTTCGGATCTTGGAATCGACTTATTCTCACCAAATTGGGGACAACTTTAAATGTGTGAATAAGAAGTTTTAAATAAGTTTGATTAAAAATGCATGAATTCAATCTTATTTAAATATCATGAATGATTTTTCATTTCAAATTCTTTCAAATGTAGAATCATGTCTTCAACTATCGACAACAATCTTATGTTCCCAGAATTTCCCGAGAAGTTATCATTTAGCTTGATTTTGGTAAACTTCAAGGAATGGGAAGATGAACTCTGTTTGACCCTCCGCAATTGCTACCTAGAGCATATCTTGGATACTCCCATCCCGAGTTTCTACTCAAAAGGGGATAATGAGCAATATGGATCATGAGGATTGGAGTTATGATTGCAAGAGAGTCTCTCGACTCATAGAAAACTCCAATCCGGAACAATGGAAGAAAAAATTCTCCAACTACCTTCCGAATGTACTTCTCAAGTCTCTAGAAGATGTGGTCAATATGGAAGAAGTGACTAGGTCATTGTCTAACATGAGGATCAAGCCACCGCAAGATGGATGTCTTAGCAAAGAAAGGCAAGAAGTATGGGCTAGGGTCTATAGTGCAAGACTTAGACGCAGGATGCCACTTCAAGCCCATGTGCAAAAGATGAAAAGGTTATTTAACCATCTGGAACTGATTGGTAAACCGGTGGAGGATGAGCAAGCGACTCATATGCTTTTGAGCTCACTCCACTCAGGATACGTTGCAATTAAGATGTGACTTACCAACAATCGGAACAAACTCTCCTACAAGGAAGTTGTCCAAGAGCTCCAGAAAACCTATTTTTGCAAGGCGGCTACGTTCGCTCTAAGGCTCAAGAAAAAGGAGTTCAAAAACAAGGCAAAGATGCGCTGCTTCTATTGTAGTAAGCAAGGCCACTACAAAAGAGAATGTAGCGAGTATCTGGAAGATGAAGCAAGAGGAAAGATAGCCTCAATCTCAGGTATCATCTACACACTTGAAAATAAATCGGCCGGCCGACCCTTTAGCTACCCACCTGACCCACCGCCGACCCCCAAAACCACCCACGCTGCTCGTCCCGACCCTAAAAACCACCCGTAAAAAGCCCCTCCTCCCTTTCCCCACCCACAAAATCGGTCGTTTCGACGGTGGGATAAGGGAGGAGGGGGTTTTTACTGGTGGTTATTAGGGTCGGGGCGGCTGTCTGGATGATTTTTGGGGTGAGTGATGCTCGTGTTTGCGGTTTTACGAGGTCGGGGCAGTTTGTGAAGGAGGTTTTGGGGGTTGGCAGTGGGTCAGTTGGGAGCTACAGGGTCGGCCGGCCGATTGTTGGTGGTTCAGGTGGTGACCGGCCATTTTCTGGCGAGATGAGGGGAGGGGTCAGGGTTTGGCGGTGGTGGGGGTGGCTGGGAAAATTTTGGGGTTTTTTTTTTAATTTTTTGTTTATTTAAATTTTTTTTTTATTTTTTTGTATTTTTTTTTAATTTTTATGAATTAAGATAAATGATCCAATTATGTCATGACATGTGTCATGACTAACCCCTAATTACTAACGGAGTTAACGGTCGTTGGTCATTAATGGCACCGTGTGAATTTTTTAAAAACTGGGTGGCATTTGGTGAATTCTGAAAAGTCCGATGGCATTTGGTGATTTTTTAAATTGCTCAGTGGCATTTGGTGAAATAGCCGATTAATTAATCAATTCCACATAGTATCTTGCGTTAGATAAAGATTAGAATTATTGAATCAATTAATTGTTGGTTGATCACTTAAGCCAAGGCGAATCTTGTTTATGTATTGTTCTTTCACGAATATTATTAAATAAGAATAATGACTTTGCAATGTAATTCCTACGTGAATTAATGTTTGTAAATAAAATCGACTAACATAGTTTTAGGTTTCACGTTGTATATATTGTTTCACTACTACAAAAACTAGAATACAAAACACAAGATATAGAACGGTTAACTTAGATATGCGATCTCTAGGATTTTATAGAATGCCTATCTTAGTTAACCATTCTATTTTATTTTTTTTATTTTATTAAATTGTGATTTTATTACATAGAACGCATTTCTTAGTTAACCGTTCTATTTGATATATCAAAATTTTACACTTACAATATAGATCGCTCCTCTTAGTTAACCGTTCTATATGTTTAACATTATTTTTTCAAAAAAATAAAATTAAAAATAAAAATCTAACATACCAAGAGGCCCAAAATTCTATCCCTAATTTTCCTTAAAGAAAAAAAAAATCTAACCCTAACTCCTCTAAGAGCCGTCATTCTCAAATAACTTCCCCTCTTCTCATCCTCTCACGCACTTCTTGCTTCTTCCCTCCTTTGAAACCCTTACTCCTTTCTCTTCTACCTTCATCCCTCAAAGTCCGATCATCACAAAAACTCCGGCTGACATTCGATTAACCCCTTCTTCGTCGTCTTCTTCCTATATTTACAACTATTCTATTTGTCGCATCGTTTTGTTTTCCTACCCCAACTCCGATGCAGTACGGTGCGCGAAAGCTCAAACCATTTAAACCTCGATTTTGCTCTATTTATGGTCTCAAGTTGTTGCGGATTGATTGGGGTTTTACATTATCAAGGTAGGTGGTGGCTGAAATTGAATTGATTAGTGGGTCGTGTAAGGTGGTTGGAGGTGTGTAAATTTGGAAGTGCATTTTAATTCTTAATTATTAATTTTAGATCTATAACTTTTATCAATTGATTTTTATGTTATGATTTGGATTATAATTTTTTATTTTTCATTTTTGATTTGTGGGTGTTTGGTGCGGCTTCACTATTTGCGTGCACTATTGGTGAAGGCGTCGCGGAGGCGCTGCAGTGGTTGAGGTTGGTGGAGACGTTGCGGTAGTAGACGTTGGTTGAGATGCTGCAATGGTCGAGGTTGGTTGAGGCGCTGCTAGGGAGTGGTTCAAGTTGGTGGAAGCACTGCTGTTAGTTCAGGTTGTTGAAGCTCCGCTATGGTTGAACTAGTATAGAGGTTGTACTAGGGCTAGGATGACGATTCCCCTCTAAAAGGAACGTTATCTTAGTACTCTCGCTCCCGAACTCATTTCTGGTTTATAGACCAATTTGGGCATGGTTAAACTTATGATTTGTGCTAATTATTCCATGAACTCCACATGGAAGAAAGACATGAACGAGGTTTATGAGTTTTTCCTAAAACTCATTGGCGACTCCTACTTGTTTCTTACAAAAAAGCGTGATGATAGAATCAATTCTAATTCAAGGTTCCCCAAACAGTCAGGCATTCAAATCCTACTACACCCTAACAAGTGTAAAGTCCTAGGCTTTTAAGCGGCCAAGGGCATTTAAGGAGAGTACCCCTTACGATGGGATCACCCTCCTTACAGGTTCTGTGTGTTCCCTCTTCTCATTTTTCCTATAAATAGGACCCTTCTTTCCGCAGTTCAGGGCATCAAATCATTCTCTCTTTTACACCAAAAATCATTTATTTCTCTCTCTCTCATATTCTAAGCCTTAAACCTATATTTCTAATTACACCATTCTTCCCTTAAGCACTACAAGGAGTCCATACGACACCCGAGGTTTCGTCCTTAAACCAAGGCGTGAAAGGTATAAATAACTGAGGGTTTGGACCAAATCAACTCTACATTTATTTAATTTAATTTTCATTTGATTTATATTTTTTATTGAAATTACTAACAATTAATTCATGATGTAGCAATTTTAAGGAACGCGCGAAATGTGAGTAATTAACTAATTTAATTACTTATTTTATTTTTATATTGCTAGTATCATGATTAGGTTAATTTATTATTCGATTTGACTAACGCTATTATTGAAATTTCTTCCAATATTAATGTTTATTCTATTATTATTTATTGATCACCATATTGCATGTTAAAGGAAAATATGTAATTGAAAATCACGCCTAATAAGATAATTTGGACGACCGATTTATGTTCCTTTTTAATCTTATTGTTTAATCAAGTGATCACTAATATTATAGAATTATATGTTGCATTAATATTTAACAAATTTATCCTAATAACTGTTTGGAGCAAATTGAATATTTTGTTTGTATGCCTTTGAAATCGCAGGAATGCTTTTCACTATAAGCATCGAGTAGAGGCCAATACGGGCGAATGTGACTCCATGACTCACTTCGTACCATCATCCCCGATTCTCCTTTCGTGGTCTGAAACATATGGAGTTAGTAATCACATGGATTATGAATGGGGTGTAACCTTCACGGGTCAATCGTTGTTGCTTATCGTTGTCCCTTTATCGTGGTTGCCTTTTATGATCCGTGAACGGTTTACAAGTTCCTTAAAAACTTGTTGGCGGCTCCCTACTTTCCTTGTCCCTAATCGTTTTCCCTAATCGTATATGTCAATTCCCACTTCCTAAGAGTGTCAAGCATATTCACAACATGTTTTAACGTAGGCGCACTTCAAACGACGCCTACAAAGCATATCATACAAATGTCAATAGTGATTTAGTTTTGTACTTTTAATGTATGAAGAGTATGACTTTCTTAAGGAGGATATAGGCCTCGATCGACTAACAGGGTTAATTCAGTTAAATAGTTGATTAGTGTTTGTATCATAGACTAGGATTAGACTAAGTCGATACACTTAATCACAAGTGCCTAAGTAACCATCTAAGCTTAAAGAAAGTAACAATATGAGCTGTTTTAACTGATAACATGTATTGAAATTTCGAATGTATTGCAGGTTTGGGTACCAACAAATCCACCAGGAGCTGAAAGATTACCCCTGGAATTGTTGTATCTGAGACTGATTTTTATGAACACAAACTCTGGGGTCTTCCTGAAGAGGTGCATCTTCTATCCAATTCCTAGAGTTTACGTCTTTTTGAAATTATGTACGACCTCAAGTTCATGCTACCTGTGGTCTTAGGAAAACTATACATAATCTTATCTAGTCGTCAAATCATGGTCTGATACTTATTAATTCAAATTTATACCATAATTTAAAATGAAATTTTAATTTGCAGGACCTGAGTAGCAAACCAAAGTACCTCATTGCCTTTACAGTAGGCTATGATCTAAGATACAATGGCCATGTTTGGTAAATGGCTCTTTGATGTCTTTTTGGTTAGCTTTTAGATTTTGGATTTTTTATGTGGTCAAACAGCTAAAAAATGTGTTTGGTAATTGACTTTTTAGTCAGCGAAAAAGCTGGCTTTAAAGCTAAAATGAAAAAGCTACTTTAAGTAGCTTTTTTTTGTTGGCTATTGGCTTGTTAACCCACAAATTATCTAATAAACAGCCAACAACCAACAATTAATTTACCAAACACTTTTATAAACAGCCAGCTTAAACAGCCAATTTCAAAAGTCATTATAAATAGCCAAATATTCCAGCTGGTCAAACAAGCCAAGTGAACCAGCCAACAGCCAACCGCCAATAGCCATTTGTCAAACAAGGCCAATATTGATACTTATGTTAAAAAGGTTTAACCACGACTCTTTTGATCTAACCTCCGTTCCTCAATTAAATATATGTTCGTGTGCTGAATCTGATGCTCACAGTTTCCAGTCAACTTTACTATTCTCCTGTTTCATTATGATGGACGAACAAGTGAATGGGATGAATTTGAGTGGTCAAAGCGCGCTATCCATGTTAGTGCCCAGAAACAAACGAAATGGTGAGTGATTTTACCTTCTAATCCATTCGCCTTTGAACATATAATATTTTCATGTTTATTTGAAGAAATACATGGATTAGAAATTTCAAAGTCGATTTTGTTTTTTAAAAGTTGTATCTGATAGAATATATAAACCGATTTTAGGCTTCAACCACCAGCTTAAACTTTTGATTGAATCGGTCCTAATGTCCTATAACATAGTATCAGAGCCAACTTGACATGAAGGTCACAAGTTTAAGCTCAAAAGGCTTTCACATGAGGGGGCATGATAGAAAATATAAACTGATCTTAAGCTTCACCATCCGCTTAAGCTTTTGGTGACTTTGATTTCCTTTATTTTCTGTTCAGGTGGTATGCTAAACGATTTCTGCACCCTAATGTTGTAGCTGCATACGATTACATATTTATATGGGATGAAGATCATGGGGTTGAACACTTTGATGCAGAAGTCTAAGCTGTTTATAACATCGAAATTCTAAGTTATGTACTTTCTTTCATTTGACTTATCTAGACCAGATTAATTTAAGTTACCCTTTAATGTGTTTTAGATATCTTAAATTGGTTAAGAAGCATGGGGTGGAGATTTCGCAGCCTGGCTTAGGGCCAAACGTAGGTCTAACATGGCAAATGACAAAGAGAAAAGGTGATGGTGAAGTCCACAAGTAAGAATGGCATGAGAATTTATCCCCTTCTCACTCGGCCTTTTAAGCATGACACAAAATTCGTCGTTATTTATTTTTATTTCTCCTTGCATTTGTAGAGCGATTGAGGAAAAGCCCAGATGGTGCCCTGATCCTCAGTTTCCACCGTGTGCAGGGTATGTATGTATATACTAATACTATTCCCTTTTACAAGAATTATAAGTCACGGTTTATTTCATTATGTCTCAGAAAAGTTATCACCTCTCCTAATATGAGATTGGTTACGATTAGATTATTCAATTTCGCAATACTTGCAAATATTTTTTTTAGATTTTGTTTATTTACAGTTTCATTGAAATCATGGCACTAATATCCTAAAAAGTTGTCACCTTTTTTTATATAAGATTGGTTTTACGATTAGATTTTTTAATTTCGCAAGCAAATATTTTTTTTTAGAATTTGTTTATTTACAGGTTCATTGAAATCATGGCACCAGTATTCTCAAATAAGGCATGGCGTTGTGTTTGGCACATGATTCAGGTGTCCATTCTTTTACCTACCCTAATTGTTCAAGTTTTTGTTTACTAATTTATTAATGACCAAATATTCTTGTGCTTTATGACTTTCCAGAATGATTTGGTGTATGGTTGGGGTCATGACTTTGCTTTGAGGATGTGGGTTGAGGTTTTGTCATTACTTTCATGATTACCACTCTTTGGAATAATTTATGTGACTAAATTACAACATTTACTACCCCTCTCCCTTCTCCTCCTGGCCCCAAGCCTCAAATCTCCAACTCCGACCACTGAGCTAGCAAGCGCGCTTTTTACTTTTGATTATGATATATAAGATATAAACTTATTTTCTAAAATAATACACCCTTGAATTCTAAATGTTTTTGTACGGATACTTTTTTCTCTTTTTTTTTAAACAATGAATCATCCAAAAGAGTACAAGTTGGTGTTAATCATCCAACTTATTTACACACTTTTTTTAACAATGAATCATCCAAAGGATTACAAGTTGGTGTTAATCATCCAAAGGAGTACAAGTTGGTGTTAATACACACTTTTTTTAACAAATTAATCATCCAAAGGAGTACAGGTTGGTGTTATTTATGATTAATAATTCTTAGGTCTTCCATCACCACTTATTTACTGTATGAGTTCCTGATCTTAATACAGCCAGCACATGAAAAGATTGGAGTAATAGATTCACAGTGGATAGTCCATCAAACAATTCCCTAACTTGGGAACCAGGTGAACTTGCTTTGTTTCTCTTGTTTATGTTTTTTAAATTTATAAGTTATAATTTAGTGTGAACAAATTCATATTGGATTAATTATTTGCACAGGGTGAAGCTCAGGATGGGAAGGGGTATCATCTCTTTTATTCATTAATAAGCATATTATTATCTTCATCCCAAAAAAGCAGGCGGTGTTTCCTTACTAGTTCATTTTACAATACCGTATGTCAAAATTTTGAATTTATTTATGTAACATATCTTTTAGACACGATATTAAGAAAATGATTAGAAAAAAGAAGAATAGACTAATTAAGCCATAAAATCGAAACCATTAACAACTTAACATTTTCTTTTCAACCAATTTATCCGTTTACTTCATCTAATATCTTCCTTTATGAGTGCAAAAATGTGTTGCTAATAAATAAAAACAGAGGTTACATAAATTTTCGTTTTTTTAACACATAAAAAAGACGATTATATTAATTAATTAGAGTTGTTACATAAAAACAAGATCAACCTCATTCCGTAGGCAAAATAAGAGGCTAATAAAGAGCTAGAAGTATGCGACCATAATCTAACAACAAAATTTATGGCCTTAACTCTAAGTTTATATACTATGCCCAACCGAAAAGCAAGTAACACCAAGTTTTTTACAGCAAGTATAGTATAACCTAGGATAGATTACAGTAAATTACTCCTCATCCGAGTCCTCCTCAGCATTCAGAGCAGCAATTGCAGCTAACTCTTCATTGTAGATAGGCAGAATAGCATCAGGGCAAGAGAGGTACAAGCGGACCAATACTCATAACTATCCCAATTTGAGCTAACTCATGAGCAACAGTATTTTTGTTTCTTTTCACATGAAGGATTTCAAACGTATCGACGTACTTGATATCCTCCTCAATATCTTTCACCACCGCAGCCAATTCATGATGGAGATTATTACCTGAGTAAGCATAACCCTCAAAGAAAGAGCACCCACCTCAAGCTCAACATCCTTCACTTCAAGTCTTTTCACCATGGAAATACCTTCTCTAATAGCAAGGAGCTCAATTGCAAAGGCTGAAACTGTATTGTATTTGCTTGAAAAATCCATGATCTACGTACCATCATCCCTTCTAACAACAGCTCCAACTGCAGCCACATTGATAGCAGTCTAAGCTCCATCGGTTTTGAGCTTCCCCCAACCTTTTGGAGGAGGACTCCATGACTACAGATTGTTTGAACTGCTTGGCTTATATGTGATCTGTGCTTTGCCATGTATTATTGTATACACCCATTTGTGTCTCCCCAAAACCAAACTCGGTGATGAGTACCTTTCGCGTCGAATCATAATCGAATGAAGTCAAAGTGTGGAAAGTCTAGTGTTGCGGATAGTTTTAATTTATTTTTTCTTCTCTCTGTTTTTGAAAACCTATTTTAAGAAAACAGCCAATCCAGTTTGGTTTGGTCCATGATATAAGTCCAATAATGGTGTAGTTAGATGGAGCTTAAAAAGAGTTGTCCAACGATATATTATAAGCCTAATTCGATGATAATGAGGAAGTTATGGCCAAATTACTAAACTGGGACTGGTTTGATGCGGCCCAATGATCTAGAAGAGGGCCTAATATGGATTTATCATTCCTAATGCAATTAGAATTGATTTTAGTCTTCTAGATTCTTCTAGAAAGTTCTTTTCATTCCTAATTCAATTAGCATTGATAAATTGACTTTATTTGACTTTTTAGAGTTTTAATCAGAATAAAAGAGTGTTTTTAAGGAAAACATGATTTTGCCCTTCTGTATGGCTAAATTTTATTTGAATTGTGAAAACGCGTGAAAATAATTGTTAGCGCCTGACGACAGGGATTAGCGCCTAGCGCTAATGTTCGGCGTTTGGCGCTAATCTGTTTTATCCTCGTCAAAACTCTAATTTGTTTTTCTATCCGTTTGGCTGATTTTCTCTATAAATAGCCTCCTAAACCTCCGTTTTTCATCATCAAAAAATCATCAATTCTCCCTAATTCTCATCAACAATCATCAAATATCATATATTCTCTAGTTTTCTTATTCTCTCTAGTTTTTAAGAATTCTTCTCTCTCTAACTTTCTATACAAGATTCCGCATTCACAAGATGTAGAAACACCTAGCCAAATTCGAAGTTGCCTTCGCCCTAGACATGAAAGGTTTTCATTTCTGAGGGTTTGGTCCCAAATCTTTATTTCAATTATTTAGTTTAATTGTTTGTTTTATTATTTTCCTTGAAGTTACTAACGCGTGTATTTTGTTATTAGAAAGAGGTACGAGGCATCCAAGTAAGTGTTTTAATGGTTTTATTGATATTATGATATAGAAATCATGTCTAGGTTGTTATTATGATTCCTAGTGTCATGTTAGGGCGTTTTGATCTTCCTAATATCATGTTTAGGGTAACTTTAATATTAGATATGACAATTATGATGCTTCTTATGTTTTTTCTAACATATCATGTTAGTATTATGTTAGGGTTAAATATTTGATCTTTACTCCTTAGTGACATGCTAGGGTTTGTTATTAATCTTGTTAATATCATGCCTAGTATCTTGCTATTATTATGCTTTAACATGATTATGATAATTATGATTATTTATTGTTATGATGATTATTATGTTGCTTGATTATTTATTGTTATTGCTTGATCACGCCATTTATGCATGTTTAAAGGGAATTGGTAATTGTAATCACGCTTAATAAATAATTATAATCTTGTTTAGAGTTAATATGATTATAATTCAAGTGATCACCAATAATAGGTTTATTTGTGCATTAATTTTCAACCAACATAGATAAACAGGTTTAGGGTTAACCTAATGATTGCATGTTAATCAGAAAGCGCACATGAATATGATCAGAATAAAGTAGCACTAGTAGAAAAAGGCTCATTTGTGTCGCTCATTTATAGTGTATTTGCGTCGCTTCTATAAGCGACGCAACTGCTCGCGACGCAAATGATTTAAAAGTCATTTGTGTCGGTCCTAGGGACGACGCAAATAAGAGTCATTTGCATCGCTCCTTTATAAAGGAGTGACGCAAATAAGAGTCATTTGCGTCGCTCCTTTATAAAAAAAGCGACGCAAATGACTCTTATTTGCGTCACTCTTTTATAAAGGAGCGACGCAAATGATTCTTCTGATAAACTTCTTTTTTCTTACTTGCGTCACTCCTTTATAAAGGAGCACCGCAAATGACTCTTCTGATAAACTTCTTGTTTGTTATTTGCGTCACTTGTTTATATAGGAGTGACGCAAATGACTGACTAGACAATACAAAATTGTTTTATTTGCGTCACTTGTTTGTTTAATGAGTGATGCAAATGAGGTGAATTTTTTTTTTTTAATTATAATAACTGCCTTGTATATGTTTGTAGTACCTGTTTTCCTTACTAGTGGCATAAAGTAATATGCTAACGCTAATATAATTGAAATTAAAATGCAATATTATTGAATAATGCAAATGTAAATTTCGACAGAGTCTCCTTTGTAATTTGGCCTACCCATAAAATTGAGAATGACGGCATTATATTAACAACCTGTCCAATAATTTACATCTCAATATCATAGACATTATACTCATCATCCCAATACCAATTAACCAAAATCATTCATGTCAAGCCTATAATCCAAAACAAGAGTCCAACATGCGCTAAGTGTAAAGTTCAACATTACATATAAAATACTCTGCCCAAATATCTCGAATCTCATTTATCTCCTCCTCAGTGTACGGTAGTTCTTGAAAAATCCTATCAACACAACAAATATACAAGACGAAAGTTTTAATTCAAGATTGTAGCTAACATCAAATTGCATTTATCAAACAAAAATGAAATATTTGACAACTCATACCTGAATAAGATCCTCACTGCTATGGTGATGTTCAAGTATTTCGTACATATGACGCATGACGTAGTAGCCACACTCACATCCACCCAATTGTTGAGGACACTACATGTAATATATTTATAAGTTGAATTAAATTTCTATACTTAAATTATTAAGAAACTAAAAGTTAGGGTAAGAAATTAAGGTAACCTGTCCCAAATGCCATGTCAATTTACTTCCCCTAGATTGTCCACTTAATGCCTTGAAACTTCGAAAAGCACTACACATTTGAAACAAATAACATATATATATTACCCTTACACACATAAAATCATGACATTAATAAAAAACTAGACTTACTTTGTCATTGCAAACTTAATTGCTAAATTTCGCTTCTGCCTCAAAGAATCAAAGTTGATGACTTCACGCTTAGCCATGCATAAGACCAAAAGAACCCAATGATTCCTACATAATAAATTAGACACACATTTGTAAAAGAGTAAAATAATATCAACAATTTGCAAAGTCCAAATAAATACAAGTTCAAAATTTATACTTTTCATGGTATGGGCATAAGATGAACTGCTTAGATTTTTGTTTTTCCATCACATGTGTCATGTATAGTAGGATACGATCTGCACCACTATGCAATAGGTTTCTGAAATCATTTCCGGACCATGAATCCAATGGAAGCCACATCCACCGTATCGAGTAAGTCACTCAAGGCCCTACATATATATCATGTAATACCATTATAAATGGTAATAAATAAGTATATATGGGAAGAGTGAAATTTGAATATCTTACATCATAAAAACTTGCAAAACTGAAATATTCAGCCAAGCTCCTGTGAGAAGTTTATTGACATCTTCACGTTTGATAATGATGTCCTTATTATCTTCATAACTAAAGGTCCAAGCATCAACCTTTACCTTAATAGTTTCACCTTCGGGTAATGAAGATAACAAACTATTCAAAGACCCACACTTCTGAGACAAGTTTTCCAAAGCATAATCCATAAGAAAAACTTTTTTTGGATTGGTGTTGGACTCTTTTGTTTCGTGACCACTTTCAACTACTTTCAGTTTGTCTTGCATGTTTTCTTTGGCCTCTTTGTTATTATCATCGTTCTTATTTGATATGAATTCCTAATCAATAGTAAAGCAAATCTATTTTTAAGAAAAAGCATGTGCTTGGCCAAGTAAGGATGAACCTCACTAAGATTTTGCAACACAAAAAGCTCGGCCTTATTTTTCATTTCAAAGCTCATGGATATCCTTTTCCTGCCAATAGTACCTTGACCTCCAAGCCTCCCATCGTGTCGAGACTTTGGCAACCCAATTTTCTGTGAACTTGCAAGATATTGAGCAACCCATGCTGCCACTTCCTCAGCAACTGTTCGTTGTACAATACTAGCTTCAGGTTTGGCCGGATTCATGACTTTTCCCTTTAAGTCACCCATTTCTCGTTCAAAAGGATACATTTATCTCATACACACTGATTAGGGGATTTTTATCCACCAATCACCGTCTGACAAGTGGACCAACCAGGTTCCGCCACGTGTCCTTCACGTAGGCCAATAGGAGACTGCCACGTGTCAGTCACAGATACGTCCTCTACGGACCAATTGAGACACGCCACGTGTCCACCCATGCCAAATGGGAAAACCGGCCAACAAGGCCCAATCCTGTTTAGAGGCCCGGTCAGCCCTAGGTTTACCCTAAACCTAGAGAGTGGCACGTTTCTCAAGACTATAAATACTTAATTAATCCTCATTAAGTTGGAGAACAGAACAGAACAGAACAGAACAGAAACATTACGGAACACACTAATAACTGGCTGATCTCGCTAACAAAGCAGATTACCAACATTAAACACTCTCACCTAGAGAGACTTTATTACTTTAATTTCCGCATTAATTACTCCTTAATCAGGTACTAACTTGACCGTTGGAGGCAGAGCTCTCAGGAGTCTCCGTTATTTTGCAGGTACAGGCGTCCGGTTCCAGTCTCAGAATTGTAACTCTCTCGCAGGACATCAGAAGACCCCGAAACATTTGGCGCCGTCTGTGGGGAGAGTACTTCAGAGATGGCATCCAAGTCTGTACCGACTCCTGAAGAGAGGCGTCCCCTAAACGACCCTCAAATTCAGTCGGACCATGACACCGAAAGTGAATTTGAAGTTGAAACTCATACAGCTCCAGACGGGACCCTAAGGGCCCGACGTACCCGTCATACCGAAAGGAGGGAACGGGAGCATCTTCAAACAGGAAGCGAGCCAGCAGGCGCACCGCCTGCTCGGCAACAGCCGACTGATGGGTCTGCTCCCATCACAAGGAACGAACTCATGACCTTCATGAGGGACTTCAAGGGAGAGATTCAAGAGTTGATCAACAAGAAGCCGCCTGCTTCAGTCAAGGAGCAGTCGGCCAAGAAACCTTCCACTTCACTGAAGAGGAAGCCAGTTCAAGGGCGAGAGGCGACTCCTCATCCTAAATCTAGGAAGCGGGAGCCACCTGCCCTTGATTTCACAAAATTCCGTTATCCTACAGGAAATAGGAAACCGGTTCGTCATATTCAGGCGGACGGGTCAAAGCAAACATTCACAGATGCTCGGCTACTGCTAGAGCAGAAGAAGAGTGACCGATTGTCAGAGTCGGCTTCTACTTCAAACTTTCAAGACAGTTTGCGAAAAGCCTCGATAAGGCATACTCAGTCGTACCATGAGAGTCAGTCAGGCGGCACCTCCCGTCAGTCCGGCTTTCATAGTGCCCAGGCGGTACCAAACTTACCATTTGTGCCGCAACAACAGTATTTTATGCAGCCACCTCCATTTGGTGGACCTACAGCAAAAAACGTCCAACCTATGGACTGGCAGCTACGGTTGCTTAGACTTGGTGAACAGCCGTCGGCCTTCTCCAAGGAAATTACTGAAGCCGCTCAGCCGGCCAAAGTGAAAAATGTACTAGTAGGCGCCTATGACGGCACTACTAACCCAGAAGACCATCTGATGGCATTCACCAACCTGATGTACCTTCAAGGGTTGGATGATCCCACTTGGTGCAAGTGTTTTCCAGCGACTCTCAAAGGAATCGCACAGCAATGGTTCGGCAACCTGCCGACTGGTTGTGTAAATAGCTTCAGGACGCTTGCTTACTTATTTGCCTCCAACTACGCCATGAACATCCCTGCGAAGAAAACGACCCTTGATTTGGGAACAATTCAGCAGGGCGAGAAGGAGGGGCTTCGTTCTTACATCAGGCGGTTTAACCTAATGAGAATACAGATTCAAGGGTTACCGGATGAGGTAGCTTATACCGACTTTTTTAGAGGTCTCAAAGACGGGTCTACCTTCAAATTTGATTTGGTTCGAAAAAGGGTGGCGACTCTTCAAGAGGCCTTGATTGAAGTAGAAGCCTATATACAGGCGACTGATCTGTGTACGATAAAACAGTCGGACGGGAAAAGGTTCGACAAAAGAGAAGGACGACAGAAACAGTCGTCAAACAAAGATGAAAAAAGAAAAGAGGTCTGGGCGGCTGATTCCTCTAAACAGCCGGCCCAGAAAAAGAAAAAAGAATTCAAACCATACTCCCCAAAGTATGTGTTTAACAAGGATAACCAGTTTATCCTAAAAGAAATAAAGGGACGGATCTCAATTGAGAAGCCGGTCCCCATGAAGGGTTCTGCAAACAACCGGAACCAAGATAAAATCTGTGCTTATCATGATGACGTTGGTCATCACACCAATGATTGCATCAGTCTCATGCGGTACCTAGACCGCCTGGCTGAGCAAGGTGATCTTGACACTTATGTCAAGAAATCTACGGGGAACACTTCCTCAAAAAAGCTGTCGGCCAAAAAGAATCAACAGGCCGACAACTCCGATACAGATGATGCAGTCGTCTACACCATTGCAGGCGGCTTCTCAGGAGGCGGCCCCACTATTAGGGGCAACAAAGATAATATAAGGCGGTTAGATGTAAATTCCGTTCACCAAGGACGGCCGTCCAAATATACATTTCCTGAGATTGTCATCACTGAAGAGGATCTAGGAGGGGTAAGGGGGCCGCATGACGACCCTCTCGTTATTGAATGTAAAGTGGCCAACCAGAGAGTTGGCCGAATCCTCATAGATACCGGGAGCTTCTCAGATCTCATCAGCAGCAAATGTCTGTCGAAACTGAAATATCAGACGGACTGCGTACATCCGGCCTCCCATCCTTTAATAGGGTTTGGAGGAGGAGTCGTCCACCCACTGGGACGAGTAGATTTACCCATTCTCCTGGGCGAAAAAGGGGAAGGACGACACATGGTAGTCCGGTTCCTAGTGGTAGAGGAACTCTTGGCTTACAACATGATTCTGGGTCGACCAACCCTGAATAATTCCAAGGATGTTATAATCCCGTCTCTTATGTTGCTCAAGTTTGAGAGGGATAATGGAACAGTCGGCTCCCTAAGGGGAAATCAGAGGATGGCCCGAGAATGCTATCTCTCGGATGTCAAGCCCACTGTTATGGCCACTGGGTCAAGTGTTGAAAAAACAGACCTTGACAATGTCAAGGAGAGTGCGCCTATTCAAGAAGCAGGCGGCAAAAAGAGAAAGGCGTCCCAGACAGAGTCCGCAAGAAAAGCGAGAAAATAGCAATCATTGGCAGAGGAGCGGCCGGATGAGTTCCGCCCTCAGCCGGCTGGTGAGCATGCGGACCTGATCTTAGACGACTCACGTCCTGATCGAACAGTCAAAGTTGGGACGACTGCTCTGAGAAACCTTGGTGACGACTTTCACAACCTATTGAAAGAATACAAGGACATCTTTGCATTTGAAGTCCATGAAATGCCAGGCATTAGTCCTGATCTGGCGGTACATAAACTCGCTGTGGATCCGAAAAAGAAGCCGGTACGGCAAAAGAAGCGGAACCATGGCAAAGAAAGAAGGCAGGCGGCAGCCGCCGAAGTTAAAAAATTACTTGATGCAGGGTTCATTCGGCAATGTTACTTCCCAGACTGGGTTGCAAATGTGGTGCTTGTTAAAAAAGCCGAATGGCACCTGGCGAATGTGTGTAGACTACACAGACTTAAACAAGGCGTGCCCCAAAGACAGTTACCCTCTGCCTAAAATTGATAACCTGGTCGACTCAACAGCCGGCCATGCCTTAATGAGTTTCATGGACGCCTATTCTGGTTTCCATCAAATTCCCTTATGGAAGAAAGATCAGGAGAAGACGCCCTTCGTCACTGATCAGGGGTTATACTGTTACACGGTCATGCCGTTTGGTCTTAAGAATGCCCCGGCTACTTTCCAACGAATGATAAACACAGTGTTCTTTGATCAGATTGGGAGAAACGTCGAGGCATATATTGATGATATGATTGTCAAGACTAAACTTCAGAAAGATCATCTGTCGGACCTCCGAGAAACTTTCGCCACACTCAGGCGGCACCATGTCATGCTCAATCCCAAGAAATGTGTATTTGGAGTTGAGTCTGGGAAATTTCTCGGATTCCTTATCAATCAGAGAGGAATAGAAGCGAACCCTGAGAAGGTGCAGGCGGTCATTAACATGCAGTCGCCTCGTACCATCCGAGAGGTTCAGAAGTTAACAGGTTGTCTGGCGGCCTTGGGAAGATTTCTAAGCCGATCAGGCGACAAATGCCTATACTTTTTCCAGGCAATTAAGAAAAAGGCAAGGTTTGAATGGGGGCCGGATGCTAAGGCCGCCTTCCAGAAATTAAAAGTTCACTTGCATTCCTTGCCGAGGCTGGTCAGCCCTTTGCCCAAAGAGGTTCTCTACATGTACCTGGCCGTCTCTGATCATGCGTTAAGCGCTGTTCTCCTTGCTGAAAGGGACGGCTGTCAGCTCCCGGTCTACTTTGTCAGTCACGTACTGAAAAATGCCGAGTTGAGGTATCCCCTAGTGGAGAAATTTGGTCTTGCTCTCTTCATGGCTGTTAAAAAATTGAAGCCCTACTTTTTGGCACATGCAGTCGTCGTGTATACAGACCAACCTATCAAGCGGCCGCTGACCATCATGGAGTCGTCAGGCCGAATGATCAAATGGGCCATAGAAATACAGAGCCTCGAAGTTACTTTCGAGCCAAGAAAAGCAGTGAAGGGGCAAGCCTTTGCTGACTTTATTGTTGAGATGACTCGTCCTCCTGACTCTCAAGTTCCAGACCAAGTCTGGAAGGTATATGTGGACGGAAGCTCTACTTCAAATGGTTGTGGAGCAGGCGTCATATGTCAGTCGCCAGAGGGCGACAGGTACGAGTATGCTCTACGCTTCAGTTTTCAGGCTTCAAACAATGAGGCAGAATATGAAGCTTTACTAGCCGGGATCCGCATGTGCAAGGCGGCAGGGGCAAGAAAAATAGACGCCTGTTCCGATTCACAATTGATAGTGAGTCAGTACAATGGCGAATACGAAGCAACCCATCCGGCCATGATCAAGTATTTACAGGCGGTCCGACAAGCAGTCGGCTCCCTTGAGGATTTCCATCTGATCCAAGTGCCGAGATCAGAAAACA